AACTGTCGACAAGAGTGATAAAGACGACAGTATCAGATAGAAACTGCCCCTGATAATTTGGGTGGTTTGCAGCAGGATTTAGTGGTGATTTTGGAGATTCTTCAATCACATTTTGTATGGATTATTGGATTTAGGGTCTTAATAACATTTTTTTGAAAAGTTTAAGGTTAACCGAGTCAATCTGCAAAATGCCATGAACTCCCAATGATTTTTGGGTTCAGACTCAGGCACATGGCAAGGAATATCTCCGACTGAATTCTGAAAATATCAGTTGCAAGATGATGACAGAGTCCGGACTCTACCTGCTCTGAGTATTCAACTCCACTAGCTCCATACGAATTGGCTATAGCCTCAATTTTTTCTTTGATGCTAGTGTCCAATGGGTACAAAAACCTAAGCGGCTGTGTCATGCTCTTGCAAGCTTTCTCCGCTGCAATACCGAGGTCAACCTACCATTCACACAAGATATATACTCATCAGTCATAAACACAGAAAAATCAAGAACTTGTAGTCATAAAAGTTTGAGTTCATCAATCAGTAAAGATCAAGTTACCGCTCCTTTCCCACCATGAGCATGGTGAGTACAAATCACAGCATCAAATGCACCGGCATCCAATGCGGCTTTCCTCACTGAATTTAGTTCTGCTTCAGTATCTGTCGAAAACTTATTCACAGCAACAACTACACTGACACCGTATGCCTTTGTGTTTGAAATATGCTTGGCTAGATTCACACATCCAGCTTCAACCAGGGAAACATTCTCGTTTATATATGCAGAGTCAAGAGGCTTCCCAGCAACAACCTCAGGTCCACCACCATGCATTTTCAAGGCCCTCACAGTCGCAACAACAATCGCGCATTGAGGCGTTAGTCCACTGTATCGACATTTAATGTTCATGAACTTCTCTGTTCCGATATCTGAACCAAAACCCGCTTCAGTAACTACAAACCCACCAGGTCCTACTAGCTTCAAGGCAATCTTATCAGCAATGATAGACGAATTTCCATGGGCAATATTCGCAAAAGGGCCAGCATGAACAAGGACAGGTGTTCCTTCAAGCGTCTGCATGAGAGTAGGGTTGATAGCATCCTTCATCAGAACAGTCAAGGCACCTCCAACCCCGAGATCATCTGCAGTTACCGGATCCCCAGCTCTGCTATTACCAATCACCATTTTCCCGAGCCTCTCTCTCATATCAGCTAGAGATGTCGTGAGAGCCAGAACAGCCATAATTTCACTGGCAACCGAAATGTCAAACCCAGTTTCTCTCGTCATCCCCTTTTCCTCAGGGCCTTGCCCAACAGTAATTTTCCTCAAGAACCGATCATTAACGTCCATCACTCTTCTCCATGTGACAGAATTAGGATCAATATCAAGCCGGGAAAATTTCTTTATCTCCTCGGGAGTAAGATCTCCAGGATTGGTCTTGGAGATACCAAGCTTCTTCAAACGCCTGAACATGATGTCACAGAATGTCCGTTTTCCTTCTTTATTTGGTGGGCATAACCTATTGAAAAGAGCCTTGTCGGATTGGGATGCCTCGTGGAAAATCCGAGTATCAATAGCAGCAGCTAAAAGATTGTTTGCAGCAGTTATAGCGTGAATATCTCCAGTAAGGTGAAGATTGAACTCATCCATCGGAATCACCTGACTGTACCCGCCACCTGCTGCACCACCTTTGATTCCAAAGGTCGGTCCTTGTGAGGGTTGACGAAGACAGGTCATGACCTACAGCACAACATGTGATATTACTCTTACAACAAAATGTAATAAATTCTGTATAAAAGTCATTGCCCAAGTGTCAGCAATGGGAATTCAGGGGGGAGGGGGAAGATAAGCTTATACAAAGTTTATGAAACAAGCAGATTAAGCTAAAAGAGAAAGTATAATGTAAGAATGTGAACCTTCTTATTGAGGTGTGCCCCGAGGGCTTGGCAAAGTCCTACTGTGGTAGTAGACTTGCCTTCTCCGAGTGGAGTGGGAGTAATCCCACCAACCACAACATAGTATCCGTCTTCTTGTTCTTGGAGCTCTTCAAGCACGGACAATAGAACCTAATTCACACAGCACTTGATTCGATAAGAAATTTAAAGACTAAAGGCAAAACTCGTGTTAGAGAAACAGACAAATGTGAATAAATAAAGCTCAGAAGCACCAAGAAAGCTAACCAAACCTTTTAAAAAGATTAATATTGTTTTGAAAAGAGAAATCTTTCTAAATATTTCTTTCCAAGGAGAGATCCATGAAACTTTGATTTTCAACTAGACCCAAATTCTTTAAATCTGAACTACGTTAACTCAGTTCGTACGAAATCCAAGGAGAAGCATAAGCCAAATGGGATCCTTCTCTGACTAAAACATGTAGGTGGACCTCAACTCAGTTGACTTCTCGGGTAAATTCCTGATCTCAGAAGAGAAATTTTCATTCACCAAGAAAGTTTAAGATTATCAAACTCCACACGAAACGCTCAATCAACTCACCAATAACCATCTTTAATCTGATTTTTCACTCAAAATCCAACCCAACACATACGCTACTTCTCCAAACTTCCGAATCATAAAAAGCTCATAAAATTGTTTTACACAGATCTAGATTTTACAACGATTAAACATCCATAACAATGCTTTAACCCTTCGGGTAACATAATATCCCTAAAATCAGAGAAACCCATCACGAAATAACCCAGATGCCTGACCATTACTTTCTCGCACATTTTTCCCGGAAAACGAAGAGAAAATGGAACAATCTGACCTTAGCCTTGTATTTCCCGTAGAGATCGTAGTGAAGCGGATCGAGATTGAGATCTTTGGCAATCTCGGAGATGTGAAGAGGCTCGACGGAGTTCGCGATGTCGATATCGGCGGGAACCGGCGAAACCACGTTCAATTTCCTCGATGAGCTCATCGTGCTGCTATTCGCAATTCTGCAGACTTGGTCAATGAGCCAATCTATCTCCCTCTGTGATGAATTATCATCGTATTCTATTTAATATTTGATAACTTATAAGGACGGCCGACATTTGGGCCTCTCATTTTAATTTTTTTATTTATATTATTTCGATTTATAATTCATTTAATATTTTTTTTGGTAAAAACAATTCATTTAATATTATATTAATCATCCTCGTAAATTTTCTCGACAATTTTGTACATTAGTTTAGAACCGCTCGGCTTTGTCGGGTTATCCATGTATTGTCAAGTTGCATCATTTTGATTATTTCTTTAAACTCATCTCATATATACACACCTATACACACATACATATATGATATGTCCGGTTGGACTTACCGAGGTGAACTGCATGCTAGTAACTTTCGATAAAATGTACAATAATCTCAAAACAATAAATTTGCACAACATGGTTTTTTTAAATGTCACGAATTTTGTGATTACGAAAAACCATGGAGTTTGAAAAATTAGGAATTTTTATATTCATATATACCTCGTATACAGATATACCATTTTTTTAAACCTATTTTTAAATACTGTATAATCTTAAAATTTTTAGTACATGCCAGATATTAAATTTTCACTTGAAAATTTATATCAATTAATTGCCATGTCTATAATCAGACGATTATTTTTTTTACATTGATTAAAATTCTGAGTTTTGATCAAGTTTGATTAGCGTAAGGTTTTAAATTCATTTCTTGTAACATGTCACATTTATTTTAATATATATATATATGTGCAAACAAAAAAAGTTTGAGGTTTTAACAAGTTTCCATACACGTAAAACATTATGCATGTAAAGTATATAACATATCGTCATGATCTTTTTCTCACGTCCACGTGAGTGCATGTTAGATTCGTCCGTACGGTACGTATAACTATACGAGATTCTTCTCGGATATCTTGGCCAGCGACTGGAGATTGCACCGTACGACGACGTCGGCGAAGTCGCAGGTCTCCTCCTCAGTGTTTCCCGGAGGAACATCCACCACGACGGTCCCTTCGCCGGACGGTTACACGTGGAGTGTCGTCACCGAACGGTAGTTAACATGTCACATTTATTTTAATATATATATATATGTGCAAACAAAAAAAGTTTGAGGTTTTAACAAGTTTCCATACACGTAAAACATTATGCATGTAAAGTATATAACATATCGTCATGATCTTTTTCTCACGTCCACGTGAGTGCATGTTAGATTCGTCCGTACGGTACGTATAACTATACGAGATTCTTCTCGGATATCTTGGCCAGCGACTGGAGATTGCACCGTACGACGACGTCGGCGAAGTCGCAGGTCTCCTCCTCAGTGTTTCCCGGAGGAACATCCACCACGACGGTCCCTTCGCCGGACGGTTACACGTGGAGTGTCGTCACCGAACGGTAGTTGGCGAGCCTGTGGCCCCCACCGATGACGCTGAAGCTGATGACGTGGCGCTCGTCGTCGAGGATCTCTAGCCGAGCGCCGGGCGACGGACTACACGGGGGAGACAGGGGCGGCGATCTCCTGCACCATGGCGGAGCCTATGACACTGAAGAAAGGGGAGACGAAGACACCAAGCACTGAGAAGAAGGAGATGGAGGTTGGAAGGGAGGTGCCAAGATCAATTAATACGCCAGGAGGTTTTCAGCAGATGATAGGTTTGGGCAAGGGAGGAGAGTGGTGCCTCTCTCTCTAAATCTACCATATTCAACCTCTTGCTACGGCTACAAAATCTACCATATTCAGTCATGCCACCTTCCAAGGATCAGAAATTTGACCGGTTGGAGGAGATGATCTACAACGATATTTATAAACTTCCAACTTAAAAACAAACCCTGTAAATGTTCTTAGAATTTTGTGTATATATATAATGGTGAAACTCAGATTCCTTGCCATGTTAAAAAAAAAAGAGTAATCGATATTCAAACTGGGAGGTAGATTCTGCAAAACCCAAGGTCCTAAATAGGATAAAAGCAAGTCGTTCTAGGAATAAAAAAGACTGTAAACGCAAGTTTCAGACATGGAAAACAAAAGTTACTCTCAAGCAGCTTGTTGGGCAACAAGCCTCTTCCTGGCTTCTTCAATGATGCTCAGCTTAATACCTTTGCCCTTTGGAAGAGACACCCATGGCTTTGTTCCTTTGCCAATGGTGAACACATTCCCCATCCTTGTAGCAAACTCATGCCCAGTTGCATCTTGAATGTGAATTGTATCAAAGCTTCCCTTATGCTTCTCCCTGTTCTTTATCACTCCCACCCTGCCTCTGTTCCTACCCCCTGTGACCATCACAACATTGCCCACGTCAAATTTGATGAAGTCGACGATTTTGTTGGTCTCAAGGTCAAGCTTGATGGTGTCGTTGGCCTTGATGAGTGGGTCAGGGTAACGGATGGTGCGACCATCATAGGTGTTCAGGTAAGGAATGCCCTTCTGACCAAACTGGACAGATCGCACCTTGCACAGCTTTAACTGCACAATCATATGCAAGGAATCATTGGACCATACGAGGAGGCAACGAATTACATGAATAACAGATCATCACTCTTAAGACAAGCTTTGGTAATGCACAACAACAAAAACCTTGAGCAAGTCCCAAAAGCACTCTGATATGGATTAGTTTATAGTTTAAACAGAATCTCAAAGAAACATACAAGAGTCTAAGTCATCGAAAAAGAACAAACCTTTGCCTCCTCATCCCTGATGGAGTGGAGACGGAAACGCCCCTTGGTATCATACAGAAGACGGAAGTTCTCATTCGTCTTTGGGATGGAGACAACATCTGCGAATCATATAGACCTTTAGCTAATGAAAGCATAGCCACAATTCAGAAGCATGGTAAAGGTAAAACAAAGCTTACCCATGAAACCAGCAGGGTATGTCTTGTCAGTCCTAACTTTTCCATCGACAAGAACATGCCTTTGCATCAAGATGGCAATCACCTCCCGGTATGTCAGGGCATACTTCAACCTGTTTCGGATGATGAGGATGAGAGGAAGGCACTCCCTTGACTTGTGGGGTCCAGACGACGGCTTGGGGGCCTGCACGAAACAAGTATCAAAACAATATATCACCAATCAGACATCCAAGGGGCAAAGGTTTTCGACAATGGAACTGAAGAAAACCTCAAAACGAGTAACGTACAAAAGCACCGCCAAGCTTGTCAAGCATCCAGTGCTTTGGGGCATTAAGCCTCTTCAGATGTTTCTTCAATCCTCTAGCCTGCAGAGACAACCAAAAATAGAGATCAAAACCATGAAGATAAACATTATCCTTCATTAAAACATGCTAAAGTGTATCCAAATAATCATCTATGAACAAATAAAAGAAACCTTGCAGATCATGACATCATTCAAAATTCCCAAAACTACACAATAAAGAAGAAATCAGGCCGGGCAATCAGCATAACATTCGCGACACTAGAAAAATGCACATACTGTGAGATCTGAAGATAAATTGTAAAAGAATGCATTGCTTACGTATTTCCGAAATCCTACACTATACATCGTCCAATCCCCGACATCAAGCCGGCTCAAATCAGCTTGTCTTAAACTGAAAAGCCATTGACTTGAAAAACTAACAAGAACCGAGAAACACGAGTCTACACAGGAACATTCCAAGAGCGCTATAAGATAGGACCCACTAAAATCCAAAAGATACAGATACACCACAGATTGAGACCAGCGATTCAGGGTAAGGAAGAAACGAGTGATAGAAAGCAATCGGGACATAAGAGAGAAGACGACAGACCATAATTGCAGCTGTAGCTCCGAACGCCTTCGGATTCCTCTTCGCCTAAGCGGCCGCGGCGCTTCACTCGAACTAGGGTAGAAAGATGAACAAATAGCCTTAGTTCTCCGTTATATAACGATTGTTCCGATTGATATTAGGTCAGTTTTAGGTGTTCCTGGGAGTTGGGCCGATCTGTATGGTTGTGGGCCTAATTTCTAAATCTCAATGGATTTCAAAATTGGGCCCATGAGATTGAACTACGTGACGTTTTGACATTCTGTAGATAAGAAAACGTCACGCAACGGCTTAGACAATTAATACTCAAAATTTTAATATATAACTTAAGAATCAATTAATATTTCGTAAAACTAAAATTTCAGATAAGAAAAAATTCCAATTTTATAGTTTTATACATGTATTTCAAAAGATAGATATAATTATATGTCAGACAAAATAAACAAAATTTTATTTATAAGGCCTAAGATAATACAAGAAATTAAGGTAAATAAAATTAGAAAATTGCAGTTCGAACCCACCCTGGTACAAACTTTACCAAAAAAAAAAAAGTTGCAGTTTTCATATACAAGCCGTGATTAAAAGCTCTTAAGTACTCATTAATATGGGAAATTATGGAATATAGCGTTTACTTTTTTTTTTTTTTTAAAGTAAGACCTTCGGATTTGTTCACATGTACAATAAAAGAACATGAATTTACCTCCATTTGGTTTGATGTGGACATCCACACTGAATTAATTGATTAAAAAAACCTTAATATTTGATATAATTATTTAAATTTTGGGTAACAACGGGATATGGAAGATGTATATTCGGGTGATGTTGACAATCTTGACTTTCATATATCAGTGATCATAGTCATGGTAAATAATTTTAGTTTTTTAAATTGTTAATCTCTAACATCAACAAAAAAAGAAGATATTCTTAACGTTATAAACCTTATAAAAAAAATTATATTAGTAGTTATCCGCGGTAAATAATAATAAAAAATATTATTTATAACAAATATAATTAAAAAGTTGGCTTCTCTAAATTTTAAAATTCCATCATAACAATTTTAATTTGGAATAAACTGATGACAAATGATTTGTTTTAATTTTTAAACAATAATTTCTAAGAGTGGTATTTATAATATAAAGACAGCTATAATTGTCTAAACTAAAAATTAATTATAACATTCAAATAAATGTTTCTGCGCGTTTGATTAAATTTCTCAAAATTAACTGACTGTGAAATTATACGAGGGAGGAAAAAAAAAAGAGTGCCCATCTCTTAAAAGAAATCAAACTGACAGCTATATATATATATATATATATATATATATATGATTCATTAGGATGCATCAAATGCTCACTCTGAAATATTACATTAAATACAAAGAAAACCAATAATGGTTTCTTCTCCCCCTCAACTTCTTCTCCTTGTTTTGCTTCTCTTCACAACATTCTCGGACAACCTCTTAGTGTCTTCAGTCCACGAACCCGAGAAAGTGAAGCTTAATCTCTACTACGAAACACTCTGTCCGTACTGTCGGTCGTTCGTCGTCAACGATCTCGTAAAGATCTTCGACACTGATCTCTACACCATCTCCAATCTCAGGCTCGTTCCCTTTGGCAATGCTGAAATCCATGGCTCCTCCTCCATCTCCTGCCAAGTTCGTATTTTTATTTTTTAAATTATTCAGACAGGTATATATATATATATATTATATCTCATAATTAATGTGTTTGAATTGGTCGGTGGATTGGGCTGCATGGAGAAGAAGAATGCTATCTAAATGCGATAGAAGCTTGTGCCATTCACGTCTGGCCGGAGCAGGTATGATTAACTCTCTCATCTCCCCACTTCATTCATTCTAAGCATAATTAAACCTATATCCCTTTAATTACCCTCTTTCACCCAACTAAACAAACTGTTAAGATCCAAAACTCCTGGTGGGTCACGTACCCGAGATTTTTAGAGTATCTGTATTTGAAATTGAACGCGAATTCGAACTTTTGAATATTCAAATGGTATTATCCATTAGATAATTTTGGGGTATCTGTAATGTCCAAATCCGAAATTTTTTAACACATTTTGTTTAGAAATTCATATCACATAAATTTCCCTAATACTTTATACTATCTTCATAGATGGGATGGATAATTTGGTACGCAGAAAAAACATTTCAGCTTCATACGGTGCGTCGAGAGTTCGGCCACACTCGAAGAACAGCCCGAGGCTGCCTGGAGAGGCTGCGCTAACAAAATCGGCGGCCAGAAACTGATCGACGATTGCTACGACAGTGGACTCGCCACGCAGGTCATATACATATAATATATATAGTGAATATTGATTAATGAATAAACCCATTTATAAAATATTTCAATCTAGAAAATGTGAACGCAGCTTATGGTTGGATATGCAAAGGAGACGAACGGACTGCGACCACCGCATACGTATGTGCCTTGGGTCACGGTCGACGGCACTCCTCTTTACGACGTATGTTTTTTCCCATATATATATATATATATATATATATATATTTTCTTCATCTAATATCTTAATTTTCGATATTTGTTTGTTCATAATATTTGCTCAGAATAGGCGCAACTTTGTGAGTGAAGTGTGCAAAGCATACGAGGGAACCGAAATCCCACTGCCGAAGATTTGCAATTCCTCTACGTCTGCTCTTCACAATCTCTATTCGCTTGAAGCCTGTTTCCCCTAAAAAGCTTGCCTTGTTATCATTATTACACTTAAATTAATTTAAATATATTAATTTCGATTATAATTATTAATGGAGGACGTTTGTAATATAATGCCCCTCTTTCGAATAACCAGCCTCTGGAACCATCTTTATTTATCATATTAATAATTACATATATAATTCAGACTTTCTAATTACATATCTCTGACTACTTCTCTTTTGGAGCGAATCTGGGTTGCAAATCGATGTGGGAGCAAGGAGAAAACGCAGTTTTCATGCCGCAGATCCTGTGCCTAGCCCCCCACGTCGTCGGCAACAACACATGCAACCCACACCCTTTCGGCGACGGAGACGCAAACGCAAACGCAGAACGCTTGCTCTGACCGCTCCATAGATTTCCGAACCTGCTGCTGCTGTTGTTCTTGCTCGTGGGTTTCTTAGCCGCCGATGATGTCACCGCGGCCAGAGCCGCCGCGTCTGGCAGAAACCGCTCGATGATATAACTGGGATCGGACAAGTCGCTGCTGTGTCCGGTGGTATCGACGGTGAAGTAGCCGTTGGAATAACCTGACCCGCCGCTTTTAGGGTTCGTCTGGTGTTCGACCATGTCTATGGCTTGTGTCAGTGACAGCACTTCCACTGCGTCTTGGTTCGAACCTTCGAGATTGTTCTGTTGAGTTTCTTCGGGAGTCTTCAGACACAAGTTAGCTGCTGTCATGGCTTCTCTGTTGTCCGTTTTGTTTCTTCCGTTTTCTTCGCCATTAACCTTTACCTACAATTGGATTTTGTTTTCGAAGGTCATAAAGACACCCTTTTAAAAAACAAAACAAATCTTCAAGGCTGCAGAAAAACTACCGAGTTTTCACGGAATATGACATCCTATAGATACGAAACGCAAACTTTACGAAGGTACGCACCTTCAGTCTCCCAGGGGGGAGTTTAAGGCGGGGAGTGTCGGATTCGAGGGTGAGACCGTCGTCTTTCTTGAGAGACAAGTTTTTGGGCAATCCAGGAACCGTTTCCCAACAAAAAGGGATCCCCTCAGATCCAGAAGAAGCTTCTAGAACATCCTTTTCTTCCCCGACATGGCGTTTTGTCGACAAGAGTCGAGCGTTGAAGTTGAGCCTTCTGGAACGGTTCGCGTCCATGGTTGCTTCCACTGCAAGAAACGGTTTCATCAGGTAGCAAACAGAGAAAGAAAACCCAGAAGGTGTAAAGATGAGCTGGGGAAGATTTGGGTGTGGAGTGGAATTTAATGCGGAGTGGTTGGAAGAAAGGTCCGAGCTTTCTCGTGCCCAAAAAACAAATAAACCCGATATTTTGGCCTCTTTATTATGTTCACAGGTCAAGAAAACAGAGCAGCGAAATAGTTAGAATCCATCCGACCGTTTGGTTATGAAACCGACCATGGAACCAAAAGTGACAAGGTTTAACCCTAAAACAAACATGCCCACAAACTCAGGGACTCTGAATTCGAGCACCATAGATTCAAAAGACACGAGCAGAATCTTGAAATCTGAAACAGAGAAACAAACGGCATATGTATGAATACTCTGTTTTTTTTCCCTTTGCTGTTTTGGAAGGAGAAGAAAAAAAATCTCAGAAGCCCTGAGAATCAATACAACAGACATGGAAATGAAGTTACAGATACAATTACATATAATACGCTTAAGCCCGAGGGAAAAAAAAAGAAAAAAAAAAAGAAAGAAAGAAGGAATACACTGAAACATCTAGAAACAGGACAGAACAAGAAGTCCAGTTTCACCAGAGGCAAGTCTTCTTTTGTGTTCCCTTTGGCTAGAAAATGAATCTCCTGTAACAGCAAGAGCACACTGCACTACTATATTTCCTTCCTCCAGTCCTCAAATTCCGACCAAAACAAGAAATCAACTCGAAATGTGTGAACTTTCTATTTACATTCTATTCTGCTTCTTTGGTTTTTAACCCCCGGTAAGCTCAAACCGACCTTCTCGATCACAGAACACGAGGCCAGTTCTTCTTCCAGAATGTTCCAGGAAGGAACGAAGCAACCTAGAAGCTTACCAGTGTCCGTGTAACAGAGGACGAGACGGCAACCATTGATTGCCCATGAGAAACAGGGTGATGTAAGAAGACAAAGGCCGAGACTTTTTTGTCTGAAACTCTCTTACTTCTGCTCTGGATTCCGTTGTTTGATTGCTTTGTGATAGAGTTCAACAGTATCTGCATGTCCCGGATCAACACATAGCGCTGCTTCACAGTCTCTACGAGCAGCCGTGCATTCGCCCATTGAATCGTAGAATGCTGCCCGTAAATGTAACAACTGCAGGTCTGGTTTAAAGGCTATGGCCCTCGAGAGCTCGGCTATTGCTTCAGCTTCTTTATGGTCATCCATCAGAACTGGAAAACAAACAATTCGTGTAAAAAATGCCATAAATACTGATTCGGAAGTTCAAAATGTTTTCCTTGCAATAGCATGTCATCTTTGTGATTTCTGCATAATCTCAAACTAGTGTCTCGGTTTCAGTCTCTCTAAAGGTGGATACTTTAAGTAACAACTACCTCGACTAATCAGATATAGACTCAAGTACAACCAAATATTGTCTGGGTTTAACGGATTCAATCTAAAACCAATAACCCAGATGGGTTTCTACATGTTTGTTCAAAGGTTGCCACGTTGCTTCCATCTCCACAAAATATCATCCGGTTTGATCAGATTTTAACCGAAACACAACTCAGATATCTGAATATGTTCTCTAGTGCTTAGCTCTCTCTATGAGTCTATTCCAATTTTCAGACGGCCAAAACGGTTAATAAATAAGAAGAGATACAGAAAATTAGTTTACCTGCGGCTCTGTATCTGTACGGGTATGTTCTTAATGGGTCAAGTTGTGTGGCCATGCTGAGATCACTCTGTGCCATCTCTCGGTCACAGTACTCAGACCGCTTCTCGTAAGCCGAAGCATTGTTCTGAGCTTTCTCTATCAACTTTGTCATCTCGTCATATGCAACTTTCATTTGGTTTTTAAGATGATAAACGCGAGCAAGACCTTGGTGAGCTCGTGTATGTTTGATGTTGAGCGCGTTCATGTAGCAATCTGCAGCAAGATCCAGTTTATCGCAGTCTACATACACACTTCCCAGGTTGTTCAATGCCTGTAATAGAGCAAGAAAATTCCTTAGATCCGACCAAATTCTGAAGAAATATAGAGCCTTAGGTATAAATTTTGTATTCATACCCTCTACATTACAAGTTTGTAAACCACAATACAGAATTGCTTCAGGAAAAAAAAAAGAAGACAACTTTATTGTAAAAAGATCAGATGACACGGAATTATTATCTCACAAGTACAAATTTAAAACCTGAGTTCAGAAGCTTTAAATCCCCAATTCATATACTATGAAGAATATGAGCTCTTATTCAGTATATTAGGGACTAGCATTACTCTGATGCCATTTTGTGTAGAATAACCCTAGGAAAACTTGATTCGGAAATGGGTCCGGATCATGGAACCAATCCGATGAATCTGAAATTCACTTAACAGAAATCGAATTGCTTGTCGAAAAGTTTTGAACTTTTACTCACTTGTCCCTTACGAAGACCGTCTGAAGGGCATCGGAGGGCTTCTTCAAGGAGCTGGATAACGTACTTTGAAGATTTGGGATCAAGTGTAGAATCTGCAAGAGCATAAGCTTTGAGGAAAAACGCCTCAAAAGATCTCTGGATCGATATAGACTCCTCGGCCTTGGCCAGGGCTTCCTCTCGGTGGCCTGTATCGTACAATATCCATCCTTCATAAACAAGTCGCTCATTCTCTGACTTTGAATGGTTCCGAGCCAGCCTTAGACTACGCATTGCTGCTTTTTGACAGTTCAATCTGTCGTAACGCAATGCAATGGAACCATGAATCACGAACACGCATTCTAAGTACAACAATCTCGAATCGAAAAGCTTTAAAAAGCATTACCGCAATAGAAGAAGAGACTGCCGGAACCGTAAAAGGCTCTTCCCGGGATCGTTAGAGAGCATGTGATGGACAACAGCCAGGGATCCGATATCGTCCACAGAAGACCACCGATCGTACAGCTGCATCCAGCAATCAGCCTGACTCCATTGCTGGACCAGCGGCCGGAGCAGTTCCACCATATGATCTCCGTGAATTTTCCGGTTAAACATCAGGAAGTTCGGTTCCAACGTCAAAAGTGCACGGATATCTCTCAGAGCCCCCTCGTAGTCCTCCATAGAGATAGAAATCCATGCCCGCATCTCCAAACAGTCTGGAGAGACCTTAAACCCGATAATCTTGTTCAGTTCCGCAATGGCAGCACCATACTGGTTCTCCTCCGCCATTGCAACTGCCCGGTACTTGTACGGGAAGGTCAGAGTCGGGTCTAACTCCGTTGCAGTGTCCAAATCAACGAGTTTCTCTTTACCGCTGCAGTATAATGACCTCTCCTGGTACATCCACCCGGTCGGAACGTAACCCGAAATCAACGGGTTGATCATCTTGTACGCCGAGAATCTATGGCCACGTTTGAACTTAGACCTAGCCACACCCACGAGGGAGTAAACGTGACCCGTCTCAACCGCTGCATCAAACCATCTCTGAGCATCCTTAAATTCTTTCCTTTCAAGCATGGCGACCCCTAACTGGTGATACGCGAGCTGTTTCTGCCATGTATCGGCTGCACATTCAACCATACGTTCTAACAGCATCACTGTCGTGTTAGACTTGATATCATCCTCCATGGCTATCTGGCTCAAGAAGAAGTATAGTGTAAAGGAGGCGTGCCCTAACGAGGCCAATCTCTCCCGACCTTCCAGGCTGCAGAATATCTTCAAGACATTAGGGTTATGCATAGAACTCGGCAGCTCTCTGAGAAAAACCTGCAGACAAGCCGCCACGAGAAGGTACGAGGATTCCTCCAATCCATACTCGATCAACAACATTGCATCGTCCAGATTGCTAACGCGATGGGCTAAATGCGAATCGCATGCGGATCTCAATTCGTCGCAGCAAAAGCGGTTCGCCAATTTAAGAAGCTCCAAGACAACGTTTGGAGGGAACATATCTAACCTTTTGGTTCTGCTGAAAATCTCTGCAGCTCTCATCCCTTCGACGGAGATTCCATTCTGGGTGAAGTTTATGGTCTCTCGTTTCGTTTCTCTAAAGCCACCATATAGCATTGCCTTGAAGGGTCTCGATAATGAAGCGATCTTGAACCGCACGCATCGAACCTCGTCGTCGCCGATACAGAAAGACATGTCGTAATCTTCTTCGTCGGAAGTCGAGCATTCTGGGACATCGTCGTTGAGTTCTGCTTTGGGAGTTTTGGAACAGACACACGGGTCGTATACGGATTCCGGGTCGTACCCGGGGACAAGGGTTGCTCGTGGGCATTCCAGATTTCTGCCGCAGCAATCCATGGAGGTCGTTCCGATCAGCTCGTCCTCTCTCCTCTCGAATCTGAGCCAAGAGGCCAAGACAACCTTCGTGTGGGCATCGACCGCGTGTTGTCTGGCCGACCGGAGACTCCGCCGGAAAATTTTCGGGTCGGATAAGCCACGGAAGATGGCGCATTGTTCCAGATACGCCCCTGATTTCTCGAATTGCGGGCAATTCTCGATCCGACGGTAGACTTCGGCGAGCTTCTCGACGAAATCGACGAATTTCAGACAGGGATCAATCTGGGGTTCGAGCAGATCCGTGACGGGGAGGCCGTAAGGGAGAAGGGAATTCGGCATCACGACGGCGTTCGTTTGGGTCGGCGGCGGATAAGTCCGGGAGGATTTGGATCGGATCGAGTTGACACGAAGATGGTCTTGGAGGTGCTGAAGGAACTTGTCACCAACTCCTCCTCCGCTGCCGGCGCCTCCGCTTGCCGGAGGAGGAGCCGACGGGTTGAGAGCGTAAACCTGCGTTCCTTTACATCCTTCTATAAGCTTCAAGTTTCGCATTGTCGTGAACAGATTATGCTGCATAGCAAAAACAGCATCAGAGAAATCGGGAAATTTCGTAAGATCTGACAAATGGGTAGCAACCAGAAATCGAAAGAAATAATTTTCACCGGAGATTGGATCACGGCTACGTCCGCCGGAACTCTGAACGGCAAACCGCCAACAAAAATCTCAGACCTCTCTCTCTCTCCTCCCTCCCCTATTCCGCTTAATCTCTCTCTCTCTCGCCAATAAAGGAGGATTCTCGATCGCTTCTCCTCCTCCTCCTCCTCGGAAGACGTGTTATTGCAGTGTAAGTTTCATCAAATCCCCTCCTTTTTTTCCTCTCAAATTCTTTTTCCCATCCATTTTATGAACTCTCCCCGTAAAAATCGAGACAAAGTAATTGGTCTCTCTCTCTCTCTCTTGTTTCTTGTTTTTACCTCTCTAGTTTGACAATCATGCGCCCTAATAATAATGCAATGTTTTTTTTTTCATCATTTTTTAATTTCCCAGTTTTGATACAAATAATGTGCGATTACTTATTATTATGTTGTGGTTATGTCGTTGGCATCTCCGTTTTTTTATTTTAATTTTACTAAATACATGCAATTCAATACGAAAGAAATTTAAAAAAATTTAAAATTAAATTGAGAATTAATATCGTGTCTGGATAATAAAGTATATCACGAAATAATTCCCTCGGGCCAGACAATCTCGCCACGATCTGTCTTTTTCAGGCCTGTGGAGGGGTTAGACACTCTCGCTCATCGAGCGTACACACCACGCGCTCATTCAGATATGATCGTGTCTGGAACAAAAGATTCGTCACGTGTCGCTCGTGTGGGGTCCCACTCCACGTCAACAGCCGCTTTTGTCTTAATTGGGCCCGAAATATTGGATCCATGTCCGTGTAACAAGAATGGCCCATTTAGCCTTTCTAATCATTATTGTTATTTTGTATTTGGGTTATCTAATTTAAGAATATCAACTTTATAAGGTTAATGTGATACTGATTAATGGGTTCATTTGTAGGCCTGTTTATAAAATGTTGACAGACATCTAAATTTTTATAGTTTTTATGTGCAAATCTTGGTTATGTAGATTTGGTTCTACCAGGATATATATACGGGTATAGCCATAAATTATGGATCCAGTTTGTGTCAATTGACTGGTAAATTCTGATTATATATACACTTGAAATAACGCAAATATATTTTATAATTGTATAGAGTACTTTGATAATAGAATTCACAACAAAATGCCAGCACTGCATTTGTCATACAGACAGCTGTATAGATCTCTCACACACACACACACATGTTGTAAGAGAAATTTATCGTGCCAGCTTTGCATTGGGAATATGATTTCTGATGTTTGTTCAACTGTTTTTAAATGACTTTTTTAGTTAAGAAAACAGCCATATCATTACCTTTGGCGATTTTATAAAATATTATTACTAATACAATGAGAATACTAGGCTGTCTTGGATCACTTTTTTTGTATCCCAGGAAGCAATTTCTTATTAAATAATAATAATGGACAGGACATAATATAAGTTGTGAATAAGAAGAAAAAAATAATCAAATGTGCTGTTATAGATAGGCGGAGTCATGTCAACACGCTTTATTAATTAACACTGTGTTCAATGCACTAATCAGTAACTAATCATCTTAATTGGTTGTGATTAAGTCTGTTTTTGCTGGTGATTAATCAACGTGTCGGTACACAAAAATAACATCAAAATTAAGAATATGTTTTATATCTTCTTTTTTATAGGTAAATTGTTTTATATCTTCTTCACAATATTTTTTTAACTTTACAAAAGCATTATTATTATTACTTGATTTACATTGAAACGCAAAAATTATACTAATCTATATGGGTGTGTCGACAAAGAAGAATGGACCAATTAAAGATGGAGATAAAAAAGAGTTATCCTACATTATATACATACATATATATATATATATACACCCATAATGTTTTAATGCATATGCTTTCCTTGGGTTGAGTCATGGGTCAAGGGCCACGATACAAATTGGGCCACAAATGAAGTGGGTTTTCAATTGGGCCGAGCCTTCTAAGCCCTTTAAATTAACATTCCTGCATTTTGAATAATCATATGACCCCATCTTACATATAAAATTACCATAATATAATCATCATTCATCCTCACTAATGCTTTTTTTGTTTTTATATTAGAACAAATTACTAACCAAAAAAAAATAAAAAATCAACGTTTCGAACATTGTTGTTTTTAAGATTTCCATCCTGTTTCATTAGAAAGGGTCTGAACATACATAAGCTTTTGCTTTTATTGTTTGTTAATGTCAATATGTACCGTTACTAATACAACAATAATATGAATTATATGATTAAACTAAAGCCTGTTCACTTCGTCATTCTATTCTTTGTCATCACGTGCATATATACATGTATATTTGTTTGTGCAGGTATACACACACACATATATATATATATATATATATATATATATATATATATGTGCTTGAATATAGCAATGTATTTCTGCAGCATTCAAGTTAATTTGATATTTCTGTAGGACATGCTAATTATTATTTTTATTTTTTTGTAAGAAAAGAATACTCGAAATTGAAACATTAACTTCGTTGCTGACGAAATTGATCAATAAAAAAGTTATTGATGAAACATTAACTTTCTTTTTGTTTGGAGGACTAGATTGCAAAACTGGCAAACCTTTGAAGCCTAATCTGCGGAGTTTTATTTTTAACGACTGCTCTCTGTAAGATCATCGAAGCCCATTAATACTAAAGTGGGTCAGACAATTGGCCTATTTTCAAAAGAATGTTTTTTTTTTTCTATAACAAAACAAGATCACCATTAAAAATGAACTTTGTTTTTTTGGCAAATTGATCGGTATTTTAAAATCGAATACAAATAAAATATAAACAAATAGTAAAAATAATTTTTTTTAAAAAATAAATAATTTTATCGTTAAAATCTGAATAACCAAATATAATATAAATAATGCCCATCCCTAAGTTCAATGGCCAGAGTCCAGACAATGCAATTCAAGCAAGAAGAGATGAAGGAAGAAGCCTGTTTGAGAGTCCTTTCCACCAGTGAACACAAAAAAGAGGGTGGGTGGGGGTCTACAAGCCAAAGAAGATCTCTCAACAAAATCTATAATAAGCCAACATGAAATGAATCACGGCTCAATAACAATATAACATTGTCTGATAATATAACCCTTTTTTTAAAGTTCAATTCAATCGAATTTCTCCCAGTCTTGTGTTACCTTGCTAGTAGTAGTAGCAGTTGGAGGAGGGTTTAAGCTTCCAACACCATTCTCGAACGTCTCCCACTCGGTGGTCACAGCGGCAGCCTTGCTTTTATCGATAAACGGATTTGCATTCTTCACCTTCAGTCCGTCGATAATCTCATGGAACTTCTGTACCCTTCTTACCTGCAAAAGAGAATCCCATTTCCGAGTCACTCAAGTTCAGATTCACCAAGAAACGCAACAACTTTTGTGGCATACTTTTTACAATCAAGATAGAGAATATCTTGAAGCTTTCTTCAATTCCTTTTCATTACTTCTACTTTCAAAACCAACTTGTTAAGGAGAAATTAGAATAGAATACAGCCCAAACAAAGCAATATCTCCTCTGCTTCTAAAGATTGAATAGATTTCCTAAGTGAACAAGCAATTCTGACAATAATTAAGCCGATAATTCTGACACTGAAGAGGGAAGTCATCCTCATCCTCTCATTCATTATGGGTATATATATGTCCAGTGAGTTAATTATCCTAATATAATGAGAGAATTCCAGTAAAAAAATGTAGCCTTATGAACTCTTCCTCTATGCCCTGCAATTCTACCACATATCTACAAGTAAAGTATCCTCGGGTCTTCTGGGCAGTTCGGTGAGGATATTCTTTGCCTCAACCTCAGCCAAGTAAAAGCAAACAGATATTGAGTACACCAAAGATGCAAATCCAACTAATTTTAAGCAATGAAAATGGCTTCCTATAGAAACAAGAATATTCAACATTTCATCAGCATCGAAATACAATTTTTTTTTCCAAGAACATAAATGCATACAGAGGAAGAAGTTAAATTAAACGGAAAAGAAATGATGTTAGAAACAAACCTCGGCCTTGCGTTGTGCTCTAGCTTCACCTTCTGCCTCAATGCTGTCCAATTTGAGCAACTGTCTCATGAGCAGCTCTGCAGACATATCAAACTCCTCTGTTGCGACTTTTGTCCCTCCATTAACAGCAGCTTCTAAAGCAACAACCTAAATCCAAAAGGACAAAAACCACTTAGCAAAACCCTTAAGGGATTTCCTCTTCTCTCGTTGCAGAAACCAATGATTCATCAGATCAGATGAAAAGCCTTACTCACCCTCTCCGAGAGCTTATCAACCTCTGCTCTGACTGCGGTAATGGCAGCAATAGCCTTTGCCACCTCTTCAGTTACCTCTGGCTGCTTCTCAACCCATTCCTCTCTCTTTTTCGGGTCCTCCAAAAGGACAACCTTAGACGAGTCCTTGACACCAGCAGCGTGCAACTGTTCGGTATCCTCTTTCTCATGTCCCCTAAACAAGATCTTCTGTTCACTTGGCTCCAGCCCAGTTTTCTGAGCAAGAGCTTTCTTCAAATCTCCTGTATCAGCGAACCATAATGAAATCGAGAAGTTGGAAAATCAAGCGAAAAATTCACGCACTTCCCCATACATTAAACGCCAAGACAATCAATAACAGAGAAATTCACATGTTAATAAAATATATGGCGAAACTAGAGAGAACAGAACCGAAATCATCTGCACGGAAATTAGGAAAACAGATCATAACACAGGTAAAGTCCCAAGTGTCAGTCAAATTCGCTATCGAAAAATTTCAAGCAAATGGGTCGAGACAAGCTCAATTTTGAAGAAGAAATTTCCGGCGAAACAGGACCATTTACCAAAAGTGGCGTTTGCAGAAACCTGAAGCTCGTGCTGCGACGAGCCATGAGAGACACCGATCCTGATCGCCGGACCGAATCCTTCGGAAGCGTTGTCCGGATGCTGATGAAGGTTGTCGGAGCCACCTTCGTCTCTTCGCTGAACAAGCATTCCGATTGGTCTGACATCAAACTCAGAATCGTCATTTGAATTATGCATCATTATCTACGGAAACGAAGATCAGACTGGAGAAACCGAATGGGGGAAAAAAGCTCAAGCACGACGAAATTAGGGATTTGGGAGAGGATTTGACCGGAGCCCTCCTTAACCCATACAAAATTCTTGAGCAGGAGGGTTTTCGGCCAGATACACGCTCGCGTCAAGTCGGTGACGCCAATAGACTTGCACCTTGACGACCCCCCAAAAAAACTGTGGTTTTACTGTTTTGTCCTTTTGCGTTTTTGGATTTTAATGGGCTGATATTGGGCTCATGGGCTTCACCATTATCAGCCCTTCTTTAGAATTGGGCTTAACGTGCATCTCCATAAACCAACGCCTTTGATGGAATTCTGAGAAATGGGTATCTTTTTGGAAAATAACAATAACAGAATAAATAATCAGTAACGAGTAATTGATATAAAAATTGAACGAGTATGATTTATCTGACAGAAATAACCGAAAAAACGATATTTTTTTTTTAAAAAAATTATTATTTTTACCAATATAAAAGTTGTCAAAACCGAATCCAAATAGCACTACACTGCACTAAATATAAAAACCGAATTATTATAATTTTTTTTTTTAAATTCAGAAATAACCAAACATGAATATGTTTCTAATCCAACCCTACTCTGTTCACCCAAGTGATAAGATCTTGGATAGGTTAATTCAGATACATTACAAGGGGTCTTAGACAAGCGGGTGGAGGAACATGTATGTAATGTAGTCGAGAACAATGAAAGAAACTCTCTTCCACCTCAAAAGCAATCAATCACAAACCACAAAAAAAAAACGATACAACAAACAACCGGAAGATGTTGATAACACGAGGCCGAGAAAGAGCAGCAAAAGAACACAAAATATTGGCAGAAAGGTATCGACTTTTAAAGTAATATGAAGCTGACAGTGATTTCTGATAACGACAGCTAATACTATGATCCCCATCCTCTTACTGGAAAAAGAAAGGAGCCTTGAAGCTTATGCATGTATGGGGAAGTAGCTACAGATGCATAAACCGATGCATACATACATCAAAAGATCAAAGAAGCCAATGATGCGGGATTTACTTAATGGGTTCAACCCATACCAAGTGCAGCCTGACGAGAAGAAACAAGAACGGACCTCGAAAACAAGAATCACACTAGTCGGAATCTGTGCCTGATAAATTGAAGTTCAGCAAAACATTAAGCTGCAACTCATTCAATTTCCACCAGCCAGCACTACACATTTGTTATGGTGTGGAAGGTAGGCAGCCCCCTATTTCACTTCCGAGCAGTCAAATCTAATAGCATAAAAAAGGAATGGCTACACTGCCTAAGAACTAAGTACCTTGGAGCATGGAGAGTATCCAACATCAAAGCTATGGAAGAACAATGCCCACTTCCACTTGTCAACGGTTTCATCCAACACAAACAAGTCAAGAATCCAGCCATGGCAAAACCGAGCAGACAAGGACAAAACTCGCACACACACAATGTAAATTGGATTCACATGTAATGTTAACCCCTTGTAAATGGTTTTTATTTGATGACAGAACAAGAATGAAGCTCATACTTAACAAGCCTTAAGGGAAAAGACAAGGCTATTGTATAGTATTTGGTTCTTTGCCTAATTCCCAGTAGAATCAAACCTCTGTAGTCATCCAAGAATAAATTAGCCGAATCTCTCGGCGAGACAATGATCGAGTATAATCATCCCCTAAGAGAAACAAACAATACCCAAATGCTCAAAATTGGAAAATTTTGGATCAATGGATCGTACCAATCTAAGAAGCCAGTTTAGCAGCTTGTTCTTTTTCCAGTCCAGCTTCAATCATCTTCTTGTTCTTCTCGATCGCCGCCGCAACTTCCGGCGGCATATACTTCTCGTCGTGCTTAGCCAGAACCTCCGTCGCCGAGAAGTAACAATCAAGGCCTCTCGCTTTTCCCGACACAGGTTTCGTCGAAACCTCCTTTCTCACCTCATCCGTAAACGGCTTGATGAACCCTTCGACGACAACAGAGTGACCTTCCCTGAACAGATCCGGCAACGAACCCTTGTATCTCACTATTATGTCCGTTATCAGATCGGTGATCACGAACTCCATCTCCTGAGACGCCGCAGGCTGCGCGACGCTGCCTTCTAGGACCAGACCGCCGAGCCTAAACTTGTTTTTCGTCGGATTCTCCGCGAACTTCTCCATCGCGTCCGTCGGCGTGAGGTAGAAGACGAGCTGATCCTGGAACTGGTTGAGCACGATGACGACGAAACCGGCGACGCAGCTGAAGGCAAGGGCGTACGTCCAGAGGCGGCGCGTCTGCATCTGACGCGCCCGGGCTCCGATATCGACCTTCTTGGGGCGAGCCGGGCCGCGACGGGCGGTGGAGAGAAACCGGAGGAGAGTCAAGGAGGACGTTCGCGACGGATCTGGATGAACGGTGGAGAGAGGGTGAAGGATCAATGGCGGCGGAGATTTGATGGGTGAGAAGATTTGAGGGTTTCTTTGGATGGACCGAAGAAATTGGGGAGGCTCGTGGCCATTCTGTGGATTTTCCGAGAAAGCAACGGAGAATTTTCCCCAGAAATTTTCTCGAGCAAATCAATCGGGCTCAGAAATGCAGAGAGAGGTTTATGCCTTGTGGGGTTTTCTTTCTGCCAGACAAAACTAAAAACAAAAATGACCTCGTCAAAAACCTCTAAATCGTTCAGAGGGTTCTCGTTCGTCGTCGTACCCCTCCGGTGTAAAACGACGAGCCGCGGATCGCGGGCCGACTCGTGAGTCGGTCCATATTTTTCTGAGTTGGACTCAAAATATTTGAGCCCAGAAAAAACCGGATCATACGAACCAACCCATCACGAGGGGGGAGCCAGTTCCTCACGGACCGGGCTGACTTGCGGACCAAACAAAATATATTTTTTTTAAAATTTTAATATTTTTATATATTTTAAAGTATTTTTATATATAAATTTTATTTTTTTATTACATATTTAATTTGTTTTTTGTTTAAAATTTTATTTTTTTTATTATATTTTAAATATTTTTTAAATATAAAAATTAGTTTTAAATATTTTTAGTATTAAAATTTTATTTTTAAAAATTATATGTTTGGTTCGGAGACCAAGACGATATGGATATATCGCTAAAAAATGGGTCAGATTGGACTAAAATTTTTCCAGATCGGGACCCGTTTTACACCCATTATGTACACCTCTATACAAGAATTTTCCCATAGCTCATATGGGCTCAATATGATGTGTTGTACAACAGTATTAAAAGGCCAGCCAGTTTGTAATTCTAAATCTGCTTAAACATGAGATTGAGAGAGAAGAGGAATAGCATTTGGAGAGTCTATGAGAAAGAACAAAATATTTAAAAAAAACATCTTTTTTTTTTTAAAAGAAGACATACAAAAGGAGAGTACCACAAAAATTCTCAACAAAGTATCAATGAAACAAAGAAGAAAGACTTCATTTCTCTGTCGGCTCATCATTCCTGAGCTCCTCCTCCGTTGGTTGAAGCATCCATTGGCTCAGCCTCAGCTTTTTCTCCAGCTTTCTTTCCTGCATTTTTTTCCAACAGACCAATCCGAGGCTCAGAACCCGTTATACGATCTAAACCCGCCTTTTTATCCGACTAATGAAAGCAAAAAAAAAAAAAAAAAAAAAAAAAAAAACTGGGCATGATTTCTAGATTGTTGTTTTTTTGTACCTTTCTTCTTCTTTCCACCACCTTTCTTCTTTGTTCTGATACCCAATGCTAACCAAGCTTTGATTTCAGAATCATCGGCTATTGTCTTTGTGGGTTGGAGCTCCTGAAGTGTATGAGACGTGATCCTGTCCGACCCATTTGGCATCAGCAGGACTGTGAATTTAATGTGGGCAACAAAATCACCTGAAATGACCACACCCATGATGACCATTGAACACATACACGTGATTAGTCCAATCATAGAGTAGAAAATCCGATTTATATTGTCACGGGTCTTAAAATTTTTTTACCGGGTTTCTCGTGAAGCACGGGATATGGCTCCAACAGATCATGGTTGACACACTCCACAAGCCCAAGCCTTGCCCTTTTCTCCTCCAGAACTCTGTATTTTTTTTTGGTATGTATCATCTCAGTAATGCAAGGTGGTTTAAAATGATGGACCTTGGAACCATGAGAAGAAGAGTGACAAAAAGCAAAACCAAAACCTTGCTGTGAATGGAAAATGTTGGAAATTCTGATTGATTTCGCTGAATATGAATCTGGAAGCCTTCATCTTAAGATGATAACTCCTATCTGGAGATCTCTTATAGACAGTCGTTTGCTTCTCATCTAATAGCTTCGGCTGTAGATATAAGATCATCAGAAGACAAGCTGACATATACAGCTCATCGAGATAATATCAGCAGTGCAATTACCTTCCCATCACCAGAGCTCGTTACAATATCTATCGAGTAAACTTCATTCTCTTCAAACTCCACATCTTCGACCCTTGTCTCCGGATTGGATACACTAAGGACAACCTTGTTTCCATCTATAACAAACCGCTTCATCTGGTGGCTAAGAACACCTTCTACTATTTTGCAGTCATAGGCTTCAGCCACCTTCTGAATAGCCTCACTTACTTCCTGGTTCTGTCACAGGAAGACAGGACATTTGGTTAATACCATCACTACAGTATTTTGGAATGTAAAACTGCATACCGATGACGCCACAGGAAGTAGATAATTCCCAAAATCAGAGTAACTATGACATAAAGCTTCATTTGGACAAGAATCCATAGCTTTATATGAAATATTCATCCTCAGGGAATCCAGAAATCAAAATTTACTGGAGGAGGTAGCAGAAAACAAAAATTAACCACAGCCTAAAAAACCTGAAGAAATTAAGAAGGGGTGAGAGAGAGCTCGGTTCTATCAGTGTATACTGATAGAACTAAGCTCAACCCATAATTAAATACTGTTTTCTTCACATTGAATTTCATGTCGAACAGGAAAAATGCTGAAACAGTTTCACAATATCTTTCTTGAAAAACAAAAAATAAAACACTGTAAAGGCAATAGTTATCAGCACAAGAAGCAGCAACCTTTTGAAGCCTTGAACAAGTGGAAATTTGATATTGGTAACATGGAAAAGAGGGACTTTAAAATAGAATCTCCTCGGTAAAGTTACCCCCAGAGAAATCCATTTACTCCTCAACTAATACTCAAAGAGAGAACTCCAATACAAGACAACATCCCATCAGAGTAACTATGACAAAAAGCATCAACTGGATGTAAATCCATAGCCAACATCATGTGTTCATCATCTGGGTTTCAGCAATTAAAGGCAATGATCCGGACACCAAATCTACTATTAGAATTTGTAAGAGGGTAAAGACATTATTCAGAACATATAGACATACATACAACACACACCCAACTATAAAAGAAAGAGAAGTCATTGAACAGAAACAAATGGAAAATACCTTCTTCCCAGGTCTCACGAGCCTCAAGGCAACTTCAGCGGCAGTGTTTGCAGCTGCAATAACATCAGCTTTACGCCCAGTAATTGGTCCTTCCTGAAGAACAACGGTATGAGCAACAACAGCGATGAACCCATCAATGTGACATCCCATATCACTGCATCAGATTCAATGCCAAAAAGGACATCAGAAACTCGTACAAAATACAAAAACGACATCAGAAACGGAAGCTAAGTACTAAAGACGAGACATGGGATACATAAATAACTTACATTTTCATCACATCACCTTCTTCCAATAATGTATCATCGCTGGCAAGCGGAGAGAAATGGCATACGGTGTTGTTGACAGAGATGCATGTTGGAAATGCGATACCTCGTTCGATCTTCTTCTTCACGTTCTTGTACATATTCCCTGTTTGCCTTTATCGAGAACAAGTAACACATAAAAGGAAGATTAACACATGCTACACATTAAAAAAAAATCATTGGTCAATAAAAAGGCCTCGTAAAACATAATTGGGCATAAACAAAATCTCACTCTCTGATAAACGCATCTCCTTTCTCGCAGATATCAACAATCTTGGCTTTCGGTTTGCATTCCGACACGACAAGCTGCAACGCCTCTGCCATTTTCCATACAGAGAATCACTCATCAGATACAGACTCAATGAAAAAACAACCATAAACTTCGAAGAGAACCCGATGAAATCGAAACCCGCGCGAACTGGAAATGACACTTAGTTTCGAGAAATGACCAATCGAATAGAGGAGAAATGGAGGGAATTACTGTTAACGATCTCGGCGGCGCTCTTGTACTTGGTGACAACCTCGGAAGAAGTGAGATCCAACTCCTTCTCCTCTCTCTCGTCGTCCGAACTCATCTCCTACAAGAGCCCAAAGAGATCGAACCAGATGGAGAGGAAGATATTCAAGAAGGAGAACTAGGGTTTAAGAAATGGCCGAGAGAAAGAGAGAGGAAGAGGATGGCTGAAGGAGACGCTAGGGTTTCTTCGACACTCGCTGTATCAGTTTTTATGTTTCCACCACGTGTCATTCAATTCTACTTCGGCCAACGGAAGCCTAAACCTTCAAGCCGCGTTCGGCCCATTACGTAAAATAAAGCCCATTTGTCTGGATTTTAGTTGGCCCATCTTAAGTTTAAGTTACATTAGATATTAATTTACTCTTATATTATATTATATTATATGCTATAAATATTGTAATAATATGATGGTAGATATCATTCATCGGTGATTTGTTCTATTTTTTTTTTTGTGAATTTTTATGCATTATTGTGCGTCTTCCAAGATATATATAACATTTGGCGGACACGCTCATGGTTTATATGCAGGAATCATGTGAATAAATTAAGTTACCATCATCACTTATTAAAAGCTTATATCCAATGTGGATACCGACGGAAAAAAATGTATAAACTCCTTTTTATTTCTGTACGCAATAATTTTTGGAGTATTATGAATATTCCGTATATCCGACGTACCAGATTTTTTAATACCATAAATCTATCACGAGGAACAGTAAACCGTAATTATACTCTGTTTGTATCCAAATAGTTACTTTTTTCCCCGGGCAGTAAAGAAAACTACAAACTAACATTCTAATGTATACACATATACATGTGTGTGTGGAAAATATGTGCTTTAGAATTCAAATTAGTTGTATTCATTCATCTATAAATTGTTACATATATTTAGTATATTCTGCTGTCACTATATCTATGTAATATTATATATTAATTGCAACCAAATATTACCTTATAATTATCAGAGCGTTAGAAAAAGAAATATAATATATTATTTCATGGAAGATTTGATTTTACATTTTTGTGTGTTTGTTTTGTACAAATATTGGGGCATGGAGGCACCGTCCTCTGAATGGGCCTATAAATAGCGAACGGAGGAAAGCAGAGCCGAAATTTTATTCTCTTCGTCGCCACTCAGTACGAACGGTTTCAGTGGGTTTCGTCTTCGTACTCTCCCACTTGGCACAGAGATTCTGATCGAACGCCATGGATTCGAGTGTCGTGCATCTAGCCATGGCGGCTCTCTTCGGAGCTTCCTTCGTCGCCGTCTCGGCGTATTTCATGCACCGGAAGACTCTCAACCAGTTGCTTGAGTTCGCCAAGGCGATGGAGAGGGAGAGAGAAAGGCAGAGGGAGAGGGAGTTCTCCGGAGGAGACTCACCGCAGCAACACCTGAAGAAGCGGCGGAGCAATGGCCGGAGGATGTCGAACGGTTACTACCGCCGCGGCTCGGCGTCGCTTCCCGATGTCACAGACTTTTCCGGTGGAATCGACGGCGGCGGAGGAGGAGGACGAGACGAAGAGAAGCGCGCCAACGGTCACTTCATCGACGACGGAATCCCGCCTGGGTTGCCGAAGCTTCACACTCCATCTGAAGGTATATAGTTTCTGATTGTTTATACAGAACATTCAATGATCGGGTTAGGTTTTGGGCCTTAGTTTCATTGGTGATTAAATACTTGTATCGTTTATGTGCTTCGAGTGGGAGAAACTGTGTACCAGAGATTGCTTGGTTTTGATGTTGCTGCTACAAAATGCTATTTGGACTTCATCGATGTGTTAAATCGGCGAAAGAATATGTGCTTTCTGGTTTTGATGTGTTGCTATTTTCCTTCCTGTCAACATTTCCTAGATGGTATCTGAATCTAGAAGGGATCATATTCATTTGGTCTCTGCAGTGTAAAAGGACTTTGAGGAAGAAGTCACTGAAAAAGATGTCTTGTAAATGGTAGTGGGCAGCTTTTCATACTTACACTATACCTTGAAGCATCTTAATACTGAATTTGTTTTACTCTCTTCTACTTGCATTCTTATCATCTGAAGGTTAGTACCACAAGCATCGATGTTCTTCTTTGAAAAAATTGGCTAAGGGAAATTGTGGAAGGGTGAGCTACTTTGTAATGGTCCTTTACATTGTTTACTTGCTACTAATGCATGTTTAGGTGAATTGCTACTTTGTACATGTGTCATGTTTTATGCATCTTAATACTGAATTGCTGCGTTTTTGCTGGATATGGATTGTCTTTATGTGTTTATGGTGATACCCTATATTTCCAGGCGCGGGGAGATCTTCTGTACTCGCGACTTCTACCAGGAAATCTGGAAATCTTATCAGACCCATTTCTCCAAAATCTCCTGTTCCTAGTGCCAGTGCTTTCGAGAGCGTGGAAGAATCAGACGATGAAGATAATATGACAGACACCGATGCTCAGGATGCTTCGTACTTGCTTGCCGATGGGGATGCTGTGAGTTGGTTAATTAATATTTGGCTATTTTTGTCGTGTCTGAGCAGGGAAAAAGTGAGGTGGTTTTTGGGCTTATACTTAAGCTATGCATGTAGACTGCAAATGACAACGGAGAACAAATAACCATGGCGGCTTCAAGCATTATTCGTTCCCACAGTGTGTCAGGTGACTTGCATGGAGTTCAACCTGATCCTATAGCAGCTGACATTCTGCGTAAAGAGCCGGAGCAAGAAACCTTTGTCCGCCTTAACATTTCTCCTATGGGTAAATGACCACTACTCTGATCACTTTTGTCGGTTGTCTCACCTAATTTCAGTCACTGTTGTGTACAATATATAGCTTTGCTTGAACTTTGGTACCTTCATCCTGTCATTGCCAATCATGGCATGCTTGTTTATGTAGAACCTGCTAGTTTACTACTAATCAAATATACCAAGGACTCTGAATATGAAAAGCGACTTCGAATAAAGGCGTTACTCTTTGTGAGAACTGAGACATTGAAGTCCTTAGTGGGTACCTGAAACTGTATGGATTACAACAGCTAGTGTTCAAGGGAAATGGTTTTCTAATGGCTCTTGCATATATTTTCCGCTAGAGGTGCCAACTCCCGATGAAGTTGAATCCTATAGATGTATTCAAGAATGCCTTGAGCTGCGGAAAAGGTATGTATTTGGAGAAGCAGTTGCTCCATGGGAAAAAGAAGTCATATCTGATCCCAGTACCCCTAAACCCAATCTGGAGCCATTCACGTACACTCCGCAGGGGAAATCTAATGTGAGTTAATGGTTTTACCCCGCCAATGTTGTGATGGACATGGAGCAAACTCAGATGAATCTGATTCTCCTTAATTTTATTTTTAACAGCATTATTTTGAGATGCAAGATGGTGTCGTCCAAGTGTTTGCAAATAAAGATGGTAAGAAGCTGAGGGTCGAAATTTAAACGCTTCCTTGTCCTGTTATTGCAAAGTTTGTTTGTGTTTACTCCTTTTGTTTTCTATTAATTGCCCCGTGTGTTGTTTCTCTGTTACCAGCAAAAGAAGAGCTCTTCCCAGTGGCTGATGCAACAACATTTTTCACCGACTTGCATCTTATACTTAAGGTCATAGCCACTGGAAATATTCGAACTTTATGCCACCGTCGTTTGGTGCTCCTAGAACAGGTAATGATTCTGGATAGATGAGATTGCCTGTTGATAAAAAAAGTTTCTCATGTTGATGGTGTAATTGTTTGATTTCAGAAATTCAACCTTCATTTAATGCTTAATGCGGACAAAGAATTTCTGGCTCAGAAAAGTGCACCACATCGTGACTTTTATAACGTCAGGAAGGTTGACACTCATGTTCATCATTCAGCCTGCATGAACCAGAAACACCTTTTAAGGTTTATCAAGTCAAAGCTCAGGAAAGAGCCCGATGAGGTACCATTTAAGCTATATGTTCTGGCAAGAGTCAAGACAATCTTTGTTCAGTTTGAGGTACTTATAGTCCCTTGCTTCTCTATTCAGGTTGTAATATTTCGAGATGGGACATATTTGACCTTGAAAGAAGTTTTTGAGAGCTTGGATCTGACTGGGTAATGGCATATTTATCTCTTCTTTTTCAGAGAACTTCTAAGAATAACTAGTTTAATGATTTAATCTACTTCATCTGGCTTCAAAATGGTTCAATACATTTAGTCTACTTCTTTGTGATGCGTCCTTTAAGATCCGAGAAGTAACAATCCTCTTCCTCTTGTTCAAACTATGAACAGGTATGATCTGAACGTCGATCTTTTGGATGTTCATGCAGACAAGAGTACCTTTCATCGTTTTGACAAGTTCAATCTTAAGTATAATCCTTGTGGTCAAAGTAGGCTAAGGGAGATTTTCCTTAAACAGGATAATCTCATCCAAGGTAATACTGTTACTATCTTAGTCATTCCGTCTAACATTGTTAAATTGTTTAGTGCTTCTGTCATGCACTCCTATATAACGGCAACTCTCTATGACTCTGGTTTCAACACAAACCCGTTGGTCCTTCTTTTTTATACAGGCCGCTTTCTCGGTGAGATAACAAAGCAAGTCTTTTCAGACCTTGAAGCTAGTAAATATCAGGTAAGCAGCTTGCCCTCTAAAACCTGCACACATCGCACACTGATATTTGCTGTAGCCCTATGCATTAAGAAGAAACGACACGTAACGAAAGAGCATCTCATCCCTTTTTTATGCTTGATGTAAACTTTCATGGTGCTAATGTGATGCATCAACTTGATTCTGAAGATCAAATTTAAGAGTTTATGTTAGTTTTTTCTGCCTGTTTGATAAAAACGACTGTATTGTTCTTCCTGATGGTTTCTGTGAACGCTGCAGATGGCTGAATACAGAATATCTATATACGGCAGAAAAATGAGTGAATGGGATCAACTGGCTAGTTGGATTGTGAACAATGATTTATACAGCGAGAATGTTGTTTGGTTAATTCAGGTTGCCATCTCTTTGATGTTTTCATCTGCATAGTATGCTGATGCTTTCTCTTTCATATTTTTTCACTGTACTAAATCTTCCTCTTTATTTGCTCACTAGCTTCCACGTCTGTACAATGTGTACAAGGAGATGGGTATAGTGACATCTTTTCAAAACATCATTGACAATATATTCATTCCGCTATTTGAAGTTACAGTGGATCCCGATTCGCATCCCCAGCTCCATGTTTTCTTGAATCAGGTTTACATATATACATACACACATATATGCTGATTCTTCTATCTGTATGCCCCATTGACAATATATATATTCATTGTTTGACCGATGGCTGTCCCTTGTTTTGTATTTCAGGTGGTTGGGTTCGACCTGGTGGATGATGAAAGCAAACCAGAAAGACGTCCCACAAAACACATGCCCACTCCATCACAGTGGACTAACGCATTCAACCCTGCATTTTCGTACTATTTGTATTATTGTTATGCTAACCTCTATGTGCTAAACAAGGTACCATTTCTTGCCGGTTTCTTCTGCAACTTTATTTTTGTTATCGTATAATCTCTTTGATCCAAGGATATCATATCTCTTATCTTCCTTCAGTTTCGCGAGTCAAAGGGCCTGACTACCATCAAGCTACGACCTCATTCTGGGGAGGTAATCGGCAATTTCTTCTTTCTCATCATATATCCATGTTTTTTTTTTCAGTTAATGAAATTAACGTCTGAAAATTTTCAGGCTGGGGATATCGACCACCTTGCTGCTACATTTCTCACCTGCCATAATATTGCTCATGGAATTAATCTGCGGAAATCTCCGGTGCTTCAGTATCTCTACTACCTGGCACAGGTGAGAGGACCTCTTCCTTGGTTTCATTGGCCTACTCTTCACTTTTTTATATGATGAGAACATCAAGCCAACTATTCCAACCTTTTTTTGTTAAATAGATCGGTCTGGCGATGTCTCCTCTGAGCAACAACTCTTTGTTTCTGGATTACCATCGAAACCCATTTCCCATGTTTTTCCTAAGAGGTCTCAATGTTTCCCTCTCTACCGACGACCCTCTCCAGATTCACTTAACTAAAGAGCCTCTTGTGGAAGAATACAGCATCGCTGCCTCAGTAAGTCTTTAGTCAATAGCTCAGAAAATCGAAATTATAATTTATCATCGACTCATTTTGAACCCCATGGAGAGAGAAACTTCAGCAGAAAATCGTGTGACGCCTGGAATTTTCTTTTTGATACCAAAGTAAAAGAAGACCCTTGCTTCTTGCATTACCAGGTCTGGAAGTTGAGTTCATGTGATCTGTGTGAGATAGCTCGTAACTCGGTTTACCAGTCAGGTTTCTCACATGCCCAGAAGGTAAAATACCAAATATGAAAACACATATTATAGGATGAAACGCCCACAAGGTTTCATCTCCTTTTTCTTAACAGTTTCTGATTGTTTATATAATATTTTTAAATCTCTCTTTTAGTCACACTGGCTGGGAAAAGATTATTACAAAAGAGGACCAGACGGAAACGACGTTCACAAAACCAATGTGCCTCACATCAGGGTGGAATTCCGTGACACGGTAAGTATGGATGGTATACATACGTAGGGTTAATACGTAAAATGATCACATACTGTGTGTGTGTGTGTGGGATGCAGATATGGAGATTGGAGATGCAACAGGTTTATCTAGGCAGAGCTCATATCCCTGATGAAATCATCCCTTGATTCACTCAAAAGCTATTAGAGATGATGATGATGAGTTCATACATACGAACAAGCCGAAATCAGAAGGTAAGTACCCAAAAACATTCTCTCTTACTACAAATCTTGTCTGATTTCTTTAGCTCTAGTCTCTGGACGATTTACACCAACAGGCCTTTAACATAAGTTTTGCAGTGACAGCGGCAATGAATGAATAATGTCCCATATGGATTTGCGCACACACTGAGAGAGTGAGAGTGTAGTTTTTTTTATGGTAATAAAATGACTTTTTGTCCTGAGAGGGTGTATTTATCATATTCAATTAAATCTGCGGCTAATAACCCAAACTGTGATTCAGCCGATATTTATATACAAGTTTGTAGAACTGATAGAGGACTATGTTTGGTGAAATTCCGTATATTTCGCATTTTTCTTGCAACGTTATTTTTATCCATTGTCACTTTCAATAGAATAATCGATGTACTCGCTAAAGAGGGGAAGTTTGTGGAAATTAAGGAATTTTACGAGGAGATAGATCCGAAGAGGTTTAGTTCTAAACACTATTGCTTATATTTCATTGATCAATGGTTTTTGTCTGTAGAGTTGTCTTGACAAGGCGGAACAAATGTTCAATTATATGGTTACCAAAGGATGTTTCAAATGCATTAATTTTTAATTCTATGATAAATGAATACACATGGCCCTATTGGCCGATAAAGGTATAAATCTCTTTTATGAGATGTCTCGAGCAAGATTGGTAAGCAACTTTGATGTTGTCCAAAAGCTTGTCTTGGAGATACAATATAAGGGTCATCATCTTGTAAATTCTGCTTGATGTTTTTTATACGAATGGAAAAACGGACAAGACATTTGGCCTATATAATAAGTTGAAAAAGAATGGGATTGACCTCCATATATCTTTTCGTTATGTCATGACGCATGTTTTGTACAATGCACATAGAGTTGATAAGGCGTTGGTACTATTTAATAGTTTTATTGATAAAGGGGTGAAACTGCTTGTTATCATGTATGATGATCTCTGTATTTTTCACTATATGAAGTTGAAAAAGGTAATTGGGAAAATGAAAAAGGGTGGTTGTTTTTTCTAATGATCATATATATAATGCATTGATCAAGGGTTGTCTCAAAAATTGCTCTGCATCAATGGTTATCGAACTAGTACAAGAAATGCGGAGCTATAGATTCATAGATGCATCGATTTCAAATATGATAATAGATATGGTATTTGAAGGTAGATTGGAAAAGGGGTTTTTGGATCTCATCTCTTAGTAGTTGTAAGTACTAAACATAACAGATGGACCGACCCGAAACTCGCATGAAAAATTCACCCGAAACTCGCATGAAAGATTCGGTGGAGAAAGAGAGAATTCAAAAGGGAACTCAATGAATCTATACGCTCACGATCTCTCCATTCTCGATTTCAACCACGGAATCTCCGATTCCTTTGGGTGAGCCTCTCTTAGATCTGACTTTAGATGTGTCGTCTCCTACAGATTCGTTCTTTCTTTCAAAACCATAGATACACACTTGTTCACGTGGGCCCTGGTTGCTTTTTTTTTTTTATAATGGATCTAAATCAAATCTACCAATCATTTACACTTTTGTCAATTATCATATCATATGAACACATATATGTCGTATTCGTATCTTTCTTATTTGCTATTTACGAATCATTCATGAAAATAATACAACACCCATGATAGTGATTTAAATAATGGACATCAAAACTTCGAAACAAGTCAGAAGCATATAAGAGGATGGATCAATTGAAGAGCTCTATAATTGTCGACTCTCTCTCTCTCTCTCTCTCTCTCTATATATATATATATATATATATA